ACAAGTTAAATGTCCGATTATGCACGTCTTTTTGTCCAATTATAAAGGAGGTATTACCTGTGGGGGACGAAGGAAATAAGACGCGCGTGGATCGGTGTGAGAATATTTATTCGAACACCAAAAGAACACTAAAAGAACAACAGCACTATAATCTACGAAACTAGCTGCAAAGGTGAAAGATGCGAGACTGACTCTGGCCGGTCGGGCCGGTGGCATATATATGGGTCCGAAGGATCCTAGAAGAGTCCAGAGGCGCCGAGATGCGGGAGCGCGCAGCGGTGGTGGAACAATGCAGGAAGGCTCGAGAACCTTCCGGGAAAAGGCTCCGCGCGGCGCTTGGCGGGGCGCGTAGTTGCCAACTCGTGAGCCACGCTCAGGAGCGTGGCCTGTGTGGCGTGGACGCCACACCACTCCTCCGCGGTGAGAGAAAACGGACTTGGGGCGGAAACCGGAAGCGTACACGTCTGCCTGATCGGGTGGTGTAGTGCGGGTCCAAGAGTGCCGAAGGATGAGTAGAATCGGGCCGAGTGGTGGCAGGAGCAGTCTCAGGTGTTGCGCCGGGGGGCGCAGGAATTGGCGTCGTTGGAGATGCAGTCCTTGCAGGTGGTGCTGGTGGTGCAGGCTTGGTGTAGACGTTGCCATCAGGAGCCGTGACGTAGGCGGGCTTGACGCGGTCGAGGCTGACGCGGGACTCCTTGCCCTTTATGAGAAGTGTGATGGTCTTGTCGTCTCGGGAGATTACCTGATGTGGGCCAGTGTATGGTTTTTGGAGTGACCGGTGAACGGTGTCGTCGCGAAGGAAAACGTGTGTGCATGTTGACAGATCCTTGAAGACAAAAGAGTGTGGTTTGGCGTGACGCGTGCCTGGCACTGGGCGTAGATCGGCCATTTGGCGGCGAAGACGATGTAATAGCTCTGGAGTTGAAACTACGTCGGCAGGGGCAGGTGTGGTGAGGAGGTCGCCCGGAACACGGAGAGGCTCCCCGTAAACCAACTCAGCTGGAGATGCGTTTAGGTCCTCTTTGATTGAAGTGCGGATGCCCAGAAGAACCATAGGTAGGGCCTGGAGCCAGGTTTCGTTAGGGTAACACATGAGGGCGGCCTTGAGGTGGCGATGAAAACGCTCCACGATGCCGTTGGCGGCCGGATGGTAACTGGTTGTGCGGGAGCGGTGGGTGCCGAGGATCTTGCCGAGGGCGCAGAAGAGCTCAGATTCGAACTGTTTTCCTTGGTCCGTCGTGATGGTGTGCGGCGAGCCAAAGCGAGACACCCAACAGGAGATGAGACCATTGGCAACTTCCTCTGCCGTGATGGACTGGAGGGGCCAAACCTCCGGCCAGCGAGTGAAACGGTCGATGGCGGTGAGGCAGTAGCGGTAGGGGCCAGCAGGTGGAAGCGGTCCGATGAGGTCGATGTGTACGTGCTGAAACCGGGATGAGGGGGGTGAAAAGGTCGCTAAAGGAGTCTGAACGTGGCGAGAGACCTTGGCGCATTGGCAGGCTTGGCATGCTCTGGCCCAGGCAATGCAGTCTTGCTTGACGTGAGGCCAGACGTAGCGTGACGACACCAGGCGAGCAGAGGCTTTTGTCCCTGGGTGGCTGAGGTTGTGTAATGAGTCGAAGATTTTCTTGCGTAATGGAGCAGGTACGAAAGGACGCGGGCGAGGCGTGGAGACGTCACAGTATAGTTGAAAATCGGAGCCAGGTATGGGGATGCGCTCGAAACGCAGGGACGTGTCCGGAGAGGCGCGAAGCTGCTGCAGTTCTGCGTCCTGAGCTTGAGAATTGGCTAAGATATTCAGAAGGTCAGGAGTGATTGTGGAGGTGACGGCTTCGATGCGGGACATTGCGTCAGCTACGACGTTCTCCTCGCCAGGTATATGCTGGATGTCCGTGGAGAACTGTGAAATGAAGGTCAGCTGGTTCAGTTGTACTGGCGGAAGTTTGTCCTTCTTCGGGTCAAAAATGGTGCTTAGAGGTTTATGGTCGCTGAAGATCGAGAAAGTCTGGGTTTCGAGGTGGTGTCGGAAGTGCTGAATGCCCGTGTAAATGGCGTGGAGCTCGCGATAGGGAGTTGGCCAGAGAGATTGCTTCGGGGTGAGCTTCTGGGAGAAGAAGGCGAGCGGTTGCCACATCCCGTCTATGTACTGTTGGAGGCTACCACCGACAGAGAGGAGCGAGGCGTCGACGAAAAGGCCAAGGCGCGCATGTGGATGGGGATGGACGAGGAGTGTAGCTTGGGCCAGACTGTCCTTGCACTTAGTGAAGGCTTCTTGTAAGTCCGGGGTCCAGTTGATGGGCTGATTGCCGCGTAGGCCGGCTAGTGCGGAGCTGAGCGGTGCCTGGTACTCGGCAGCCTTGGGAAGAAAACGGCGATAGAAATTGATCATTCCAAGGAAGCGGCGTAAGCCACGTGCAGTCGTTGGAGGTGGGTAGTCCTGTAGGGCCTTGATGCGGTCTGGGAGGGCCTGGATGCCTTCGGCGGAGACCTGGTAGCCAAGGAAGGAGACTGAGGCGGCGCCGAACACGCACTTTTTGATGTTGACGAGGATACCGTACTCGGCCAAACGGCGGAACAGGATACGGAGGTGTTTCTTGTGCTCGGCGTGGTTGCGAGAGAAGACCAAGATGTCGTCAATATACGGAAAGCAAAAATCCAGGTCCGAGAGGACTCCGTCCATGAAGCGCTGGAAGGTCTGACCGGCGTTGCGGAGACCGAATGTCATGTACGGGAACTCAAAGAGGCCGAACGGCGTGGTGATGGCTGTTTTCTTGATGTCCGGTGGATAGACGGGGATTTGAGTGTATGCCTTGACGAGGTCAATCTTGGAGAAAACGGTGCAGCCTCGAAGGTTGTTGGAGAAGTCGTGGATGTGGCGGACAGGGTAGCGGTCCGGAATAGTGCGTGCGTTGAGGGCGCGATAGTCGCCGCAGGGTCGCCAGCTGCCTTTTTCCTTCTTTGGGACGAGGTGGAGGGGGGACGACCAGGGGCTGTCAGAGCGGCGAGCCGTACCGTCACGAACCATAATGTCGAACTCTTGTTTGGCGATGTTGAGCCTCTCAGGATCGAGGCGCCGTGGGCGGCAGGACACTGGCGGGCCAGGTTTGGTCCGGATGAAGTGCTGCGTCGAGTGGCGGATCTCGCGTGGCGTCCCTGCAGGGCGAGTGAGTTCAGGAAATTCTGCCAGAAGTATTTCGTATTCGTTGTTGAGATCTTGACTGAGCATTTTGACACTGGGTTGCTTGAGGTTTGCGGATAGGCCTGGAATTTGGAGACTGGTCAGCGCGTCTACGAGGCGGTGATTACGGCAGTCTACCAACAGGTTGTAGTGTGCGAGAAAATCGGAGCCGATGATGGGCACCGCGACGTCGGCGATTATGAATCGCCAGGTAAAATCGCGGCGAAGGCCCAGGTTAAGCGTGAATGGCAGGAGGCCATAAGTGCGAATGCTAGAATTGTTGGCTGCGTTGAGTTCGTAGGAGGAGGGGGTGAATTTTCCTTTGAGAAGTCGGCGTGGAAAACAACAGACGTCGGAGCCAGTGTCAACGAGGAAGCGGTGCTGCGTTGTGCGATCGACGACGCAAAGGCGGCTGGAGAACGGGGGGCAGTCGGTCGCCGCCCTTAACGGCTGCCGGTGGAGTTTAACTGGTAATTGCAGGGCTGGGCGCAGTTGCGAGCATCATCCCCGAAGTTCGTGTGGTAGAAACAGGTTCCATCTTTCGGCTCAAGGAGGCGGCGTCGAGGTCTGGGTGGCGAGCGGTGGTGGTTGCGTGGACGCTCGGAGGGCTGGTCTCGGTAGCGGTTTCTGGACGGAGATGCGCCGCGGGAGTACTCGCGTGGTTGGTAGTAGTCAGGGGCAGGATAATAGCCGCGCGGCGTGTCGTCGTCCCGGTAGCGGCGGCGTGGTGTGTCGTCGCGGTAACCGCGGTGCGGAGATGGGTCTCTGGACGGCGAGCGGTGGCGGGGCCGTGACTGGCAAATGTCCTTGCAGTAGGTCATCAGCGCCTCGAGCTTTCGTTGGAGTTCGTCGATGTCGGCGAGTTGACTGGTAGCAGAGGTAGCGCGTGGCGTGCTGGAACAGGCGTGCACTGCGGGGACGGGTGGCTGCGGGAACACGTCCATGATGCCATCTGCGATGCTGGCGAGCTCGTCAAGTGGCTGATTTTTATGTCCTTGGAGGATGGCCTGTGTCTGCGGCGGGAGACGCTGGAGCCATAAATTCCGCAGGATGGGATCCGGGATGCTGAGTGATCCGGCGAGGGAGCGGAGGTGCCGCAGGAACTGTGACGGGGAGCGGCCGTTGAGGTCCTCCTGGCCGAGAAGCTGGCGGATGCGCTGCGCTTCGGAGATGGAGAGACGGCTGATCAGCTCACGTCGGAGTGTGGTGTAAGGAGTGTCCACGGGCGGGTTCCGTATAATGTCCTTTACTTCCTGTGCGAAACGTCCATCCAGGAGTGTGCTGGCGTGGATAAATCTCGCGCGTTCCGAGGTGATGTTATGGAGGGCGAACTGTTGCTCCAGTAAGTCGAACCAAAGCTCCGGGTCCTCGGGCTGCATGGGTATGGGGCGGAGTGTCACGCGCTGGACGGCGGCGAACTGGTCGGCGGAGAGTATGACGTTGGTCGGCTGGGGGTCCCGGTCCCCGTCGGTAGCCATTATATTTCACGGAACGGGGGGAAACAAGATCACGTCGAGGGTCACCGTGTGGGGGACGAAGGAAATAAGACGCGCGTGGATCGGTGTGAGAATATTTATTCGAACACCAAAAGAACACTGAAAGAACGACAGCACTATAATCTACGGAACTAGCTGCAAAGGTGAAAGATGCGAGACTGACTCTGGCCAGTCGGGCCGGTGGCATATATATGGGTCCGAAGGATCCTAGAAGAGTCCAGAGGCGCCG